AAAAAAAAATTTAGCAGCTTTAAACAATAGGTATTTATTGGCTCGCAGTTCTGGGGGTCAGAGGTCTGGGTTGGGTTCTCTGCTTTGGGGTTCAGAAGGCTGAAATCAAAGTGTCAGTGGTCGGCTGTCACTGGGAGGCACCAGGAAGAATCTGCTCCCAAGCTCAAGCAGGGTGTTGGCAGAGCACAGGTCCTTGTGGCTCAAGACTGAAGTCCCCATCTGCTTGCTGGCGATCAGGCAGCAGTTGGCGTCCACCCGCTTAGCTCCTAGAAGTCTGTCTTCAGTCCTTGCACGTGGACCCTGCATTTCAGAGCCAGTGATGGGGCACTGACTCCTTCCCACGGCTGGGGTCCCTCTGTCGTCCCCTCTGCCACATCTCCTCCTCCTGCTGGAGAAAAGCCCTCTGCTTGTGAGGGGTCAGGCGGTTCAACTAGGCCCACCCCCATAGTCCGGGAAAGTCCATCACCTGTCACCATGAGGGGCAATGGCCACACTGCACGAGTATGTATGTGACAGGGACAACAGTGACAAAGTGTGTGTTAGGACCCACACTTCATTCTCTCCCTGGCTGGGGAAGAAAGCTCCGGTGACAATTCAACATCATCCAGTTGCTGCGCGCGCTATGTGTTCGGGAATAACAGAGGCCGGGGAGGAGGAGACGCCCTCCAGGGCGGGCACGCACTGCAGAGAGCGCTTAGCCAGCCCCCTCCCGTGCCTGAGAGAGCAGAGCTGGCCCACCTGCAGCACCCAGCAGGAGGGGGACCCGGAGGCTCTGGGACCTGCAGGGCGTGAGACGTGGAGCATGGGAAACTACACAAAGAGGATTTTAAGTGATGCTGTGGTCATCCTTTAATGTTCTTTGGGATGCCTTGATCAGGACTGACCGTGGGCCTGCCCGTGTCCGGGGCACCGCGCACGCTGCACGATCGGATGCCATACTCAGGCTCCAGGGGCACTCGTGGCTGACATCAGCAGGTTTCCAGGGAGAAAGTGCGTTCCAGAAGAGCCTCCTCAGGGCCATTCGGTGCCCTGGGTCTGTGCGCATCACCGCCCCACGCAGCCCGAAGTGGGGTTCCTCCAGCGCCACGCGCATCCCCGGAGCTCGTCCTGGAGGAGAGCCCCTCCGCGGTGCGCGGTGCGTGTGTCCAAAGCTGTACCCAGCCCTTTCCACAGCCTGGCGGAAATGCTCACTAAATGTTCACGATCTTTAAAAACAAATGAGTGTGGAAAAACAAAAACAAAGCAAATCAAGAAGGGACAAAAGGCACATCTGGTTGACCAACTCCGCCGGCCCCCAGGCCCCTGCCCCGCCCGTGGAGTATGAGGTAGGGGGTACAATTTTTAACAG